CTCACGGCCCCTGAAAATCCTGCAGGTTTGAATGAGACCGCCGCGCAGTTGCCTGTAATTTAGAAGAAACAGATTTAGTTCGGTCAGCCTGGTTTCGTAAGGCAGATGATGAAGATTCTTGACCATCTTCGTAGCCATCGCCTGTACTCTTTCCAGTCGTTGATACACTTTCTTCAAACACGATCGCCAGGCCTGGACTGCGTACTCCAAGTAAGACCGGACGAATGCTCCGTAGGTTTTTTCCGAAGAGCTCTTTATTGATCTACACAACTCTTCGCCTCAGCGCAAATAACACCCTTATCGCACTTTTGGCTGCCCTTTGACACTGTGATGATGCTTTCAGTGAGGAGGTCATTAGGACGCCCAGGTCTTTCTGTTCCACAATATTTGAAAGGGGCTGACCACCAAGGACGTTTTGAAAGGAATCGTCCTCCTTACTGGTCCGTCTGGTGCGGAGTCTCAGGACCACACATTTCTCCACATTAAAATTAAGGAGCCAGCGAGCTGACCAACTGTTCAGGCGGTTGAGACTGTCTTGAAGCGCGTACCTGTCTGCGTCAGATCTGTTAGGTCTCCACAGCTTAACATCGTCAGCAAACATGATGGCGCTATATCCCAGGTCGTCGACGCAGTCGGTAATGTAAATCAGGAATAGCAACGGTCCCAACACGGAACCTTGGGATGCACCACTTAGAACGGAGGTAGAATTTGACCTTGTGGCCTCAATGCGCACGATTTGTGATCTTCCGGTAAGAAAATCAGTTATCCATGTCAGCGGCCTTCCTCTTATCCCAATTTCACAAAGTTTTGTAGATTAGGCGTTTGTGTGGGACGCTGTCGAACGCTTTCTTAAAGTCTGTGTAGATGATATCGACCCTACCATCCTCGTCCAGTGCGCGAGTCCATTGCTCCGTCGAGAGCAATATACTGGAAAGGCACGAGTGCTTCTGTCTGAAGCAGTGCTGCTGGTATGAGAGTAAATGGCCCTGCTCCAGGAACTTCATTGTTGCTTTCTTAACAATAGCCTCCATTATTTTACAGCAGACACAGGTTAGACTAACGGGCCGGTAATTGTTAGCATTAGTGCGAGCCCCGCCCTTGTATATCGGAAATATATTTGCTGTCTTCCATTCCAATGGCAGCCTCCCTAATTCGAATGACGAGCGGAAGATGTGTGCCAGTGGTTTGAAAAGTTCATTCGCAAGTTCTTTCAAGAATTTGGCCGGTATATTGTCCGGACCCGAGGACTTTGCTTCTTTGAGATTTTTCAGCTCCCTTTCCACGGCAGCTGTCGGCAAGAGTATGGAGTCAAGCACGGGACCATCAGTCTCAACAGCATTGGTGGCACTGCGACTGCGAAACTCCGTTTCTCTAGTAAAAACCGAGGCAAAATACTGTCCGAAGTGTTCGGCTTTCTAGCTGTTCTCAATGATCTCTACACCATTATCATCCTTCAGCACCGCGACCGGGTCCTTATTTTTCAGTCTACTGTTCAGATAGTGAAATAAAATCTTGGGCTTCTGTTCACTTTGTCGGATAATTTTGGATTCATACTCCTTCCATGCCTGATGGATACATTTTTTGACGGCATTTCGTTGACGACGAAATTCTTCGAAATGCGCTAGTGACGCAGTTTCCCTGAATATTTTCCATCTTTTGCTTTTCTTCCATAGCTGCCTATTTAGGTCCCTAGTTAACCAAGCGGGTCGACTAGTTGTTTTTTGTACTTTAGGTGGACAGCAACGCCGAATGAGATCGAGTGAAATCGTCTTTAAAGATCTCCAGTCGTCTTCTGGATCTCCCCTGAGTAATTAGTCCCAATTCACGGACAGCAATTCGTTCTTCATTGTGTTAAAACCTGCCTTCCATATATTAGGTTGGCCTTCTGTTATCTTCTGGCGTTGAGAGAAGAGCGAGTAATCCCATAGTAGCGTAGTATGGTCGCTTTTCCCGAGAGGTGCATTGGAATAAACTTCGTCGACATAAGAGAAGTCTTTAGAAAAAAATAAGTCTAGACAATTCGCTCTCTGATTCTCTCGGAATCTTGTTGGTACCTTCACATGATGCGCCAGAGGGAGGTCGAGTGTGATGTCCAGAAGCTTACTGCTGAAAGAAGCTGGTCCACCATTAGCTGCCATAGTTTCCCACTCTATTGCAGGTGCGTTGAAATCCCCAGCAATTAGTACCTCTTGCTGTCTAGCTACGTCTTTGACTAAACCAAGGAGCGACTCATCAACTGCACTCAGAAGGCTTGGTGGTCTGTAAATCGCCAGGAATTCTAGATTTTGTGCATTGCTCTTCTTTATCTTTATCCACACGGATTCATATTCAAGGGAGAGGGTGCGGGTTCTTTTAACTGCCGAAATTCCTGTCCTTACATATACGACCCCCCTCCGCCCTGTCTATTTTGCCGGTCTCTACGAAAGAGCTGGTAACCCGGTATCGAAATCTCAGCATCCATGATTTCGGCATTAAGCCAAGTTTCCGTTATGGCGATGACGTCGGGGATTCGTTCCGGTACTGGTGACAGTTCGACCATCGGTTTCGATGATGTCCACCGTGTGCCCCACAGTTGCAGCAGCAATGGGAGCAGGGACGGTGACTTACGCAGGGGTTTATAGTGCCGGTAGACTTGCGTAGCATCTACCTACACTCTCTCCTCCTCCCCCGCCTGGACCCGGTGTCAAGACAGAGTCAAGAAGACCGGAGACGAGGGAGGCCGCGTTCCGGTACTATCGCTTTGAGTTCGTCGATCTTCGAAACGAGACTTTGTGCATTGGTATACAAAAATCTCAATTTGGCACGAGCAACTCCGGCATACAGTCGCTTATCCATTTCCTGAGATTGAATGCAAATGCCGGTCGGAGCTGATCGGGATAAACGGCTTTCCATCACTCCTAAGCTGTTAGAGTTATGGGCTTTCTCCAGAGGAATGGCCTCTGGACGCGTATAATTTTTCCGTCCACTATTCTGAAATTTGTCTCGCCCAGACTCGACCGCATGAGGACTTCCAGTTTGAGCTCCCTCCATTTTTCTCGCTCCGCGGGTGAAAAGTCCCGCTTAAAATAAACCGATGGATGCGCATTCTGAAGCGCAGATTTCGCGCTCAAAAGTAGCTGCGCTGTCTGGTTCATGTTTTGAGTATTTCATCTGGCCCATCCTGAATGCCATTTATACTGTGACTTTTTCGTCTCTTAATAAGATCGATTTGAGATATTCCTGGAATATTTCTATGTCATGTTGTATTCTGTCCTTTGGAGTGTCGGAAACAGACTCAGGCATGTCCTTTATAACAATGCATTTACTGCGATCAACTAGACGGCCTTGTGGTTTAATCATACCTGCAGAGTCTTCATCGCGGAAACCCCGGCTACCGCCTTCCACCGATTTAGGAAGGTAAGATTCGGCAGAACTAACGCATGACTGCCTGTTTACTACGATCTTTTGATCATTTATCGTAGCAGGTAATGAAACTTAACTTATTTTGTTGCATTAGCGCCGACTGCTTAGCTATTCTGCAAAAATGATTTCTCCGGAGCTACCTCTGGAGACGAAACCTCCTTCATCTCCCTGAATGGCTTTGACTTTTTCACAAATCTATTGTCCTTAAGATGATATCCGTCGCCTGTCCGTTGGAAGATCGACAGGTTATTGAGGGGATTTATTTTGCTGTGCTCCATAACAGACGCAATGTATTAATACGAAATTTCGAGTTCCAAGCGTAGGCATAAGTGAAGAAGAAGAATCGAGCACCGGAACACTGAGTTTATTGTCCTGTGCTTTCAGACTCGTACAGGACAATAAATACAGTGTTGCGGTGCTCGACTCTCCTTCTTCTTCACTTAAGCATACGCTTGGAACTCGAAATTTCGCGTCATTCGTGAAAAATTCGGGCGCTAAGCGCTTCGAACAGCTCGCAGCTGGGAGTTATTCTCAACACGAGAGGCAGCAGCATACGAACAGTTACGTTTTCTGCATCGATGTATCCAGGACGAACAAACCCATGATGCCTGAGATAGAAAGCTTACGTTAATACGGCCATGAGAGTAGACGTTGTGAGGCGGTTTTTCAAACAGATGACAAGAGTTCTGATCGACGACTGTCCCCGGCGTTTGCAGAAATGCAAGACTGAGACCGAGGAGAACAGATCGCAGTGTGTCCACACTCTCGGCGATTCTATTGCCGAAGATCTTGGGAAGACGATCTCCGCCCTGGCACACCACAGGCAAGCCAACAAGAAAGACGTTTTGGAACGGAAACTGACTAAGCTAAAACCACCAGGCACAAAAAGTTCAAACTTGGTCCACAAGCTCTCGTCTAAGCAGCTAACAGGGCAGTATCTACGAGTGTTACAGCATGAAACTTGTTTCAACACTGCAGATGGCGATCCTGTCGACTTCATTGCAGCCCTGGAAGCTATGCTTGTGAGAAATGAAACATCCGACGACATGAAACACACCGTCTGACAGGGTGTTACCTCCATGCTGATGACATACAGACCAACCAAATGTATTTCGCAGAGTGAGTCAAAGGCTATGAGGGAACTGAGGAGGGACGACGGCATTATCATTCTACCTGCTGACTAGGAACGATCAACCGGCGTGAGGAATCGGAAAGACTACGATGAAAAGGCTAAAACCCTTCTTGATAAAAGAGAATTTTAGAGACCAGTACAGGACTCCCAAGCCACAGCAGTGGCAGATCAGCTGAGTAAACTGCTTACAGAATACCGACATAAAAAAGTGATCACGGAGAATGAATGACACCAAGTGAGGGCAACTGACACCGCTCCAGCTCGATTCCATGATCTGTCAAAAATCCATAAAGCAAATGTCCCACTTCGGCCAACCGTTGCCCTAAAAGGCAGCCCCACCTACAATTTGGCAAAGTGGATGTACTCAAAACTGAAGTTTCACCAAGGCAATTCGACTACCTCAGTTCGATCAGCCTCTCAATTTCTCATAGACCTCCGAGGTCGGAGGATTTAATCGGACGAAATCATGGTCTCCTTCGATGTGACGTCGTTATTCACATCCATCAGACTAAACGTGGTCCGCAAAGTCTTGCGCAAGAGACTTGAAGAGGCGTATGATGAGACTCAGAATGCCCTCAAAATTGAACAGCTCATGAGGCTGTTTGAATTCTGCCAACAAACATTCTTCACTTTTGCAGGAGAGACCTATGAACGAATCAAGGGAACCCCAATGGGCTCACCGGTCTCCGGTTTGGTGGCGGAAATGGTCCTACAGGAGTCAGAAAAGATTGCCTTCCTCCAACATGAACTGGTGTTTTGGCGCCGTTACGTTGACGACACGTTCGTCATCGTAAAGAAGGACATGCCGCAACATTTCCACAGCCTGCTTAACGCAGTCTTCCCTGATATAAAATTCACGAGGGAAGAAGAACAGGAACAGCAGTTTCCGTTCCTGGATGTGCTCGTCAGACGAAACCTTAACGGTGAACTTGAAACGACGGTTTATAGGAAGGCAACGAACACCACACAGCTTTTCAGTTTTCACAGCAACCATCCGGTGGCTCACAAACGAAACTGTGTGAAGACGCTCTTCAAGCGGATCCAAACTCATTGCAGCAAACCGGAGGACAGAGCACGTGAGGCCCGTTATCTCCGCGACCAGTTTGTGCAAAATGGCTACCCGAGGGCATTCATAAGTCACTGCCTACGCGGTCGCCACCAGAGAACTCGAACATCAACGCCACCGACGATATGGCATTCTCTGTCATAAATCAAGGGTGTTTCAGAAGCGACCGAGCGCATTGCTGCGGAGCTAGGTGTTGGAATTGCACACCGCCCCAAAGCCACCATGCACAGTAAGGTCATGGTAATTAAAGACTGGCTAAAGTCTGATGAGCAATCTGGAGTAGCGTATCGCACTCCGTGTCCAAATTGTCCTTGTAATTACACAGGACAGACTGGACGCATGCTTGAATCGCGCATACACGAACATAAGCTGACTGTGCGACGAGGCGACGCATTATCACAAGTGGCTGCTCACACCTACTAAATCAGTCACGAGTTTAACTTCGCAGCCACCAAAATAGTCGTTCACGCCGCAAACAAAACAGGCCGAAGATTGATTGAAGCCTGGGCCTCGGATGAGAACTCGGTCAATCGATTTATCGATCTGGCGCCGGCGTACAGAGCCCTGCGTAGCCACCTCCAGTCTTGCGCCGTCGGTCGATGATTGGCCTACATGCCTTATAACTGTCGCTTGTTCTGATGCTGCTGTTACCTCTTACGATGGACTCCTGTACGAGTCTGAAAGCTCAGGACAATAAACACAGTGTTCCGGTGCTCGACTCTTCTTCTTCTTCACTTAGACGCAATGAAATCGATTAGCAGGCCTAATTCACGTTTTGGAATTTGGACTCGTTTGTTATCGTTCTCACAGCCGACAAAACGACGGGCTGACACAGCTGCTGTTCTGTATTTTAACAAATTAATCTGACCAGTTTCGGACTGTTCCCATGTAGCGTAGTGGTTAACGTCCTGTTATTCGTCGTCGGGGGTACCGGGTATAAATCCCGGTGGTATGACTTTTGTGGACGCGTTTTTATAACTGAGTGGCTCGTTGCTGATGGGTTCCTAATTTTTTAAATTTGCTTTAGGATAATTCTGGATATTTTCAGCAAACTATGGGGATCGATGTGTTGCTGAGTATGCAGTTGGGAGAAAATAACCCAGCCGTTTGTAGTCTTAGATGTATATCATGGAGAAAAGCTGTCAAGTTGAGAGTCTTGTATAGATAGCCGAGGGGTTTTCAGGTCACTATTCGGAACGAATCTGAGATATACATTACCGACGCAAATTGAGAGGAATAATCACTGAATCTGTTTATTATAGGGTTCAGGTGGGATGTTTCCTCGGAACAGTGGAAAAGAAATTCCAGACCCACAGGTTCCAAGGATAGTTGAACGCTCGGATTGGCGCACTCGAAATATGGAGAATATGCTGTCAGCTGCCAGTCTGTTTCCAGGGAATATGGTGTCTGCCATATACTACAGACTAAAATCAAAAAAACTCGTATAGCTGGGGATTCGATTTAAATCCGAAGGATGCGCGCCGTGATATGTTTTCCAAGATATATTAAGATGAAGGCGCGTGTCTCCGTTCTCTTGTTGACATTATATGCATTACCACGCATTTGTTTGCATTGAATTTTATGCAAAAGATCTCGCTACATGCCTGCAAGATTTTTAAATCCATTTGTAATATTTGGGAATTTCCTCCATTTTGTCCTTCTCCATACAGTAACCGCCTTCATTTTTCGTACTAGGCCATTAACGGTAACAATCGGGAGATGGCACCCAAAAAATCCGTTACCTAGAAATAATACCTTTAACAATGGGCTCAAACGCCTTCAGGCTATATCAGCGGTTGCAGACCTACTTTCACGCACTACTTGGACTTTCGGCGACGGCTGGCCGAACGAACATCGCAGGAGGTAACATGGACGATGGTCGCTGTTACCCAACCTTCCCCATCGTTACACACGTACAACTGAATATACGGCATACACTTTTAAATAGGATAGGATAAGTCTGCACAACATGGGACAGGAACAGTTCCCAGGCATCTGTCAAAGACATGGCATTGAGGCCAAACCAAAGACGATACTGTACTTCGTCTATGTAAGCCCACACAGCTCGACCACATAAAGGGTCTCCCTCGTGGAGTTTCCTTTTCGGTTTACCCCAGTATGCCTCAATGGCATTGGTGTACCGTCCGGTAGTAGGGTCCTTGAAGCTATTTGAGTGGTTAACAGAGAAATATAGATAACCTTCTGAGGGAAGACGATTAAACGCCTTCCACTCGTCCGTTAACACTATACTGCCTTTGGCGACCCATTTCGTAATAACGGAACGGAGAGCGGGCCAACTTCGATCATTCACCTGTTCAAATAAGGCTTTCCGTCGGCTAGTATCGTACATCCCGACCAGCCACCACCCATACAACCCCTATTGCCACCTGTCCCGTAAGTCAGGCTGCTTTGGTTAGGCGGATTTTTTTTGGGTGCCATCTCCCGATTGTTACCCCATAAACATTGATAGTGATTGACCGCTGACCATGGGCAGCGGTCAAGGACCGATTCTTGCAAGAATCGGCCCTTGCGGAGTTCCATTTATAATAGGCACCCACTCGGAACACTTTCTACCCGAAGTTAACTTTTTACGATTGTTTACGAAATTTTCAGTCCAGTTTAGTTTGTTAAATGTAATGCCTAGGTCTGGCCTCTTTCAGACGAGGCGCTTGTGTAGAGTACAATCAAAGACCTTGCTGAAGTCAAACAAATGACATCGAATACGTATCCTTCATCGACTAACTTGGACGAACGTTCGAGCGACGTGAGGAGGTCTGTAAGAAAGGACCTATTTTCACAGAAACCGTCCTGATACGAGATAATTCGACGACGGAATGCATCAAGCGAGATAAGTGATTTATTATCAATCTTCTCCACACATTCACAGTTGACTGATATCAGGCCAACCGACTGGTAGGTAGTGGGATGTATTCATAATAAGCCCCTATGGATGGGTACTGAAATTGCCAAATTAAGTTAAGCTAATTGGCATAGAAGTACACCTGGGATTTCATCCGGCCCGGGTGGCTCGACCGGGTCCAACTTTCTTAAATAAGCTGAAACAATATGTGGTATAAATAATACTGTTTGCAGAAAGGCTACTAACAATACGTGACAGAAGGCCGTATTGGAATTCAGCCGTATAAGCATCGAAAAAATGTGGTGGGAAGATGGCTTTCAAAATGCTGTCGCTCACACTCTAGTTGTTTTTGACAATAACCGTCAAAGAATCCCAACTTCCATGCGGAGCAATAAACTTTACAACTGCCATGTTATGCTTCTGACTGGCCGCCCGAAGCCTACTGTTCCAAGGGAAGATCCCATCTGAACCCTCTAAGGAACAGATTCAGTGATTATTCCTCTCAATTTGCGTCATCAAAGTATAGTTTGCTTTGGAGGCCCGTATACAACGGTGACAATAGCATTTTCGGACTTAGGAACCATAAGTAGACACTGCAACATCACCTGCACACTGTTTACGACAGTTCCCTGCCATTGCGCCACTGATATACTGAGCGACTCCATCACCGCCCCTTTTAGCACGGACCCGTCTTAGCCCCTGGTGGTCAACTATTTGTATTTTGGGGTGTTGGGCATCTCCAACGAGCAACGTTCGCATTAATCCAATTACATCAGGACATAGTATGCCCACGATGGTTTTATTTAAGATACTTTGTAACTTCCGTCGTTTCGTACGCGTTTAGAGTTCTCAATGCCATTGATGTCTCCTCAGAATTAATTCAGAAACTAAGATCTATTTTGAAAAATCGTTTTCTTTGAGAGCGAACGACAATGCAAACTCAACTCTCTAGGTGGCAGAATGCTCCGATTGCGTAGCCATCTATTTTTGGTTTATTTTTCAGATGGGTTCTTCCCTGAAACACGCAATATATTCATTGTTTTTTCAGCATATAAATCAAGGTCTCCTTCATACCTTAACAGCTATTAGGGCGCTTATGAAACTCCTGCTCTATTAAAACTTCTCAAAACCCTAGTTTTAATGGATTTCTTGATTTCTGTTTAATCACCTTCAGAGTTATACTCAGCATGGATTTGTGCCTTAAACTTTTTGTGAAACTTGTCACTTGGCATTTCTCAACCTAGGCGCTTCACTTCCTAACAAGCAGAAATCGGTGGTAGTGACCCATTTTGATCTTGGCAAAGCTTTCGGTAAAGCGTCACACATGTCTTCTAAAAAATCTTGTGTTTGTCAGCGGCTGTCCTCCTCTACTCGACCTTAATGATTCTAACTCATCCAACTGCATTTGAAAGGTCTCGGTAGGTAATAACTACCCGACGCCTCATTCGAACTCGAATAACGTACTTCAAGGCCCGGTTCTGGGTCCGCTGCGTATTATTGTTTACATTAACGACATTTGGGAAATACTCAGAAATCTTCAAATATTCATTTCTGCTGACGATGCCAAAGGTGTCTATTCATTTTTCTAAAGATAACACAAATGACTGTGTTGGTAAAGGTAGATCTGATCTGCTCTCGCTGTCAAGACGAAGTTCGACGTGGCAGATAGATTTCTCTCTACCTAAGTGGTGCTCTATGTATTTCGGTCTTATCAGGCCTTCCGGCCTGAAATTTTTCAGAATAATCCTCTTTTGGAACTCAGCCATAAGGAAGCTAGATTTAACTTACGCGAATAAGCTTACTTTATCGCATAATGCAGATCAAATTTCTGCAAAGGCTGCACAAATAGTTTCCCTTCAGAAACAAAGCTAAAAACTAACGACATTTTTCTCATTAGCATCCTCCAGTATTGCTATACTCCCTCAAGTCTAAGGAATACTGTGACCGCGGCTAATTCGAAGATGTTCGGCAAGATTTTCCACGAAAAACATTCTATCGTTCTGCAACCGTTTTTTCCTATCCAGGGATCAATTTTTCTGGATGTCTCTCGTTGTACTCAGTATCATCCTTTGCGTGGATGCTCCGAAACGAGGGTCCACTGGGTTGACCGCTTGAGAGCAATGTGGACAAAATAATAAAGGTATTACCAGGGTCTGTGATTTAACCTACCATCAAAAAAGATGACAGGATGGAGAGACTGACTTTTTCCCTGAAATATCTCTTTGTGTTGTGGTCCAGGGAGTCCCTGAGGCTCCTGACAGAACCCCGAAAGAGAGGGTCAAAC